CATTGCCGGTAGGTGGCAGGAGCGGCGCTGTCGGTACCAGGGGAGAGGCGTCTGACTTTGTATCGTGTGTTATGCTGTCTTTTGTTTGTTTGTTCTTTTTTGCTGAGAGTTACCTATGGCTGGTGTTTCCACGTCCACGTCATGTTGTTTCCTGGAATACCCTGCTATGTATTCTTCTGATCTCTTGCCTTCTTGATTCCGTCGAATACGTTTCATAGTATATCGTGAAGGTTGAACCGGACCTGACCTATGGTTTGGTCAATGGACGTGTTTTTGTTTTCCTAATTTCCAGTAGGTATGAATTTTATGCTGCTGAACATAAATGTCGTTGAATGCTCAACGACTTACTATGCCGTCCACCCACAGCTGTTTGAAACCATTCTGTTTGTTACAGTTAGTTGCTTGGTTTTTTTTTTTTTGTTATCGCAGCAAAATCATTTTCCGACGCGTTACACCATCCGTAAATCATACCCTCCTGTGTGTGAACCACTGTGTCATGGTGTCTGCCGGGTTTTAGGGAGCATCTCAGGCCTGCCGGGACCAGTCATGAATGAGGGTGATTCTACGGGAGGTATGTTGAGCGTAGTTTCTGCCGGCTTCCTGTGGCTAACCTCACGCTTATTGGGACACGGCGCTGGAACTAGCACACCGCACAACGCACCGGTATCGGAAAATTGTGACTACCACAGCCTCAGAGTAGACGAGACTAATGCCATGGATGTGTTGCACTGTAGGCTGTAGCACATGTTTTTGACACATTTTTAGTAACAAATTGATCCGTTTTGTTGTTTTTTTTTTTTTTTTGTCATAGTTTGTGTTGTATTTTTGTGCCCTGTCTCCAGTGGGCAGTGGACCGGTTGATGGTAGCTCAGTACAGCTAAGTGGCTGACAAGCTATGTGTTGGCGCTTCCTTTGAGTACAGACGAAAGTAAGGAAGCGATTGGACGCCGTAACTTGTGACCTCTCGTTGGTCTGTTGATTTCTGAATGAGCAAGTTAGGGCCTATGTATTGAAGTTCTTTCTTGAGCCTTTTTCTAATCATGTCTGGTGGTTGGTCTTCTATGCTGTGCCAGTGTGCTTCTGGGATCTTAGGGGTGATTGGCGATAACACTGTGTTTGGTAACTTTGCTCCACGACCCAGCATATGCTCATCGAACTCGTGCAGGATTAAAATCTTTGTCGCTCTTAATGTTACACGGTCCATCATCGATCGAGGCAACACCAAACATATCATATTTCTCTCTCCCTTCTCTCTTCCCCTCCTCACCTGTCACCTCCCCTCTTCTCCCCTCTCTCCCTCTCTCCCTCCCTCTCCCCTCCCCGTCAGCCCCGATGGAGCCACTTTCGGCAGCCAAACAATGCCACCTGCCCGGGTCGGTGCGGGCCCGGCGGGCGGAACACCGGCCGACTGTGCGGGCGGTCGGTCGATATAGTAGCACTGATAAAGTGCGGCCAGATGGTAGGTGACGTCATCGTGACGGAGAGCAGGCTCACGGGGGTGAGGGGGAGGGTGATGTTTGGGTATGTTGATATTGTGATGGTCGATATTTTGATTGTTGACTGTTTGTATTGGTATTATATTGTTTTGTGTCGCATAAGGTCCAACTAGTTAGTGCGGTGCGAATGCTGTGAGGGTGCTAGTGTTATTTGTTATATTTATGGGGACTGCTCACTGTTTCGTGTTCATATATCAGAATGGGACGCTCTAAACAGTAGGTCGTGCTGTTAGCCTTGAGCTGTCACGTGCTCCTCGTGGAGTAGACCGGTCTGTATCCAACGAACGGATACGCTGGACTGTTGACGGAAGCGACTTCCTCGAAAGATAGCCGATGTGACCGCAAACCAGGCTTCGCTGACGGAAAAAAATGGTCGAAACTTGCTCTTCATTCAGGTTCTCTCACATTGCTCTGGAAATAAACAATACGAGTTCATCATCCCGCTCCTTCCGCAGTAAACATTCCCAGACGTCACAACCTTGAAACTCTCTTGATCGGACTGGTTTGGCGTAATTCTACTCCAACATCTAAGCTCGATTTACAACATCACGTCACCGAGTTTCACCCATTTTTTTCCGTGTGTGCGCTGCGACTGCACGGTACCGGCGATTATGATTCAGTCACGTCCTGGTCCGGCCGACGGTGTTTCGCGGAGCGTTAGTCGCACAGTGAGTTCAGCCAGTCGTCGCAGCGTGCCTGTGAGCCTTGCCACGGCGACGGTCCGTGTTAGGTGTCGGTTGTGGGATTACTGAGAAGTGCGAATGTGAGCAGTGCACCCATCTTCGCTGACGGCTGACGGGTGGTGGTCTGTGCGAGTTGTGTGTGCGGTGTTGGCGTGCGTTTAAGTGGACTCTGCTTTACTAAGCTATACCTACTGTGCTGTCCAGTGTCCATTGAGCTGGGCGGACTGCGTAAGTTGTAACTCACATGCACTTGCAATACAAGACCAAAAACCGTCGTAAGTTACGGACTCGCTTTATGAAACGGGGCCAAGGTCAATGTTCAATGTTGGAATGTACAATGCAAGTTCAGTATGTACAGAATTGTATTGTATTGCTGGTTTCTCAGTTCGTGTTTCCCAGTCCTGTGCGGCGGTGTTCGCGCAAACGTGCCTGTACCTTTATGAGACACGTGTTGTTTGCAGTTTATGCTGTACCGGTTCTGTCACTCCGTGCGGAAAGCATATGCTAGTAAACTGGGTCTCAGTATGCGTGTGCCTCTGTGTAGTCATGTCTCGTTTGGTGATACTACACGGGGAGCACACTGTACCACACGCACCTGTGTTTTGTCTGTGTATCGTGTGGTGCCACCCCCTTGTCTGTATGTCTGTATGCCATGTGGTGCCACCCTACGTCACCCGGACACGCGCATATGTCTGTGTGTTGTGTAGTGCCTCCCTACACCTGCAAGTGCACAGTGCACACTTGTGTATGTTGTCTCGTCACCCTACACTCGCACAGTGTGTATATCCTAATGCCGTGTCTCGCAGGCACCGAACTGGAGCTGGCAGGGATGGAGGAGAGCGTTCGGAAGGAGCCACTGGCCCTGAGCGACCCCGTGGCGCAGGCAGCAGAGAGGCTCCGGCAGGCCATCACATTGTCTGCGGTCAGTGGACGGGGCAGGGACTGTCAGATGGGCCAGGGGGTGTCAGTTTGCGGGGTAGACACTGTCGGTTTTGGGACTCTCGGTGGTATACACCATTCAAATGCTGGGAGGTTGTGCTATCTCATATGAAGTTGTCGTTTTCCTTGTTTTCTTGGTCGTAGTGAATCATTGGAAATTGGAATGAATGATGTCTTTCTTCCGTCATCAATATTTGAAAGTAGATATGGATGCAGGTAGGCTCTAGCATAGCCTTTGGAAGCTTAGAGCACCAGTATCTGGCAGAAATCGTTTAGTACATTTTGGGAGATTCATATAGGCACTGGTACTACTGTAGTCATAGCTGTAGCGAATTCGTAATGGTTTACGGGTGTCGATCAGCTGGTCAAACAGTTTCTCTCACTTTTCTTGCTCAGTAAAGTGCGCTCTGTAGTCGTTCTCTTTAATAGCGACATGCTGCTTTGTTGTTCTTTTGACTGTTTTACAATGACGGTTCTTTGGCACGTTTCAGAAGAGCGCCAGCACGCCTTCAGAGACGGCCCTAACAGAGGAGACGCGTCACTTCCTCAGCACCTGGCTGGCCGGAAACAACAACAGTAGCAGCAGCAGCAATGGCAAGGTGAGTCCCGCGAGGAGCAAGCCTCTGAGGTCGGTAATCGAGAATCGCACACAACACGCAACACACCGAGACTTCAGGGACAGTCATTGGTTGTCCCAGTTTGGTGGCGAATAGGGTACAGATACGATGCATGTTTGCAAGCGTAGATAGGGCGTTATGGTTGTTCGATGAGTCCCTTCCTACCGGGACAGTACTGTCTGCTTGTGGCGAGGATGCTGCCGGCTTGTTTGATCGCCCATTGGCTTTATACCATGAACCACAGTGTCAGCGTTACTGGAAATCTGATGGAGCAATATAAGGTTGTCTTGGATTTCTACGTGCGGGTGGTTATAGGTACAGCTGAACTAACGTTGCGAGTCGGATTATAATGGAACTGAGATGAACTATGATGCAGGGTACTTTATACTAGATGCTTTGGCATCGCATGGACTTGCCAGTCTCCATATGGCACCACCAAGCAGTACTCCAGCAGCAGCTGCCTGGCCATCCCACAGCCCTGCTCCGGCGCTCTAGCCAGCACCCCCGATCTGTGTCCGTTTTCCCGATCAGTAGGGGACGGGAAGCGGGCGATGACGCGCCGGCCGCTGGCGGCTCGTTGGTGTCGGTTAGCGCTGTCTGTTCCGTCCCTAGGCCGTGCGCGACTGTCGGCACCGGTGTGTTTCCGCAGAAGGAAAACAAACAGTCTGTCATCGACACCCGCCGTCCACCGCTGGGCCCTCCCCGGCTCATGGCTGACTTGAGTCAGAGCTAGTTAGTTTGAAGACTCGAGTCATTTTGGGGACATATGACAGTTTAGCATGGCCAATGGCCATGGTATTGTTGGTCTTGTCTAGTTTCCTCTTCAGCCTCCTAGGGTCTTTCCCTTTCGTTCATCGATGTGTGAACTGTCGACCCTTTCCGAAGACTCCTAGAATAGTCACCAGGTGGCTCACTTCCTGTAGTGCGGAGGCGGTCTGTGTACGGTGGCGCCATCTCTGGCAGCCGGCCGGAACGCCGTTACCATGACTGCACCGGTGTGAGCCAGCTTTGTCGATGGATAGTGGGCGGCCTCAGCCGAACGAACCCTCACGGAATATAGTCGTTTATTGTGGTCTTTCGCAAGGTGTCGGAAGATTCATGTGGTGTGAGTCTGTTCTCTTTTAGACGGACTTTACTCAGTGAACTGCACCCGTGTCGATTGGATATGTAAATTGGGACGAAATTGTCGTTAAAGAGGGCACGTAAAGACACTTTCCTCGTGGAAATACGGCCAACACGAAAACCCTTTGGAAAAACCGAAACATCTTCGGCAAATATTTTGTGCCAGAACATATTTTGTGCTTTGCGCGGAAGTGGAAAGAAATTCCGAACTGATCGATAACAAAGTGCATACGACTTCGATGCGCCATTGATAAGCTTATTATGGGAAACCTACAACGGTACACTGGCAGCTAACATTGCAGAAATATATCAGAAATAATCCTGAAATACCCACTGATATTAGCTTCGAACTCGGGTGACTTGGTTATCTGCCAGTTCAAAAATGGCTCAGAGTGGTTCAAAGAAAACCCAGAACCAAGTGCTGGACCAGCTAGCAAAGGCGACCCATTTCAACCGGAACGAAATCGAGGCGCTTGTTCTCATGTTTAGGAAGACGCTGCGACCGAAGACGGACAAGCTGGACCGCAGCAAGTTCCGTGATGTGCTCCACAACACCTTCGACATGACCGACGACATGCTGATGGATCGAGTGTTCCGCGTCTTCGACAAAGACAACGACGGCCTCATCAACATGGAGGAATGGGTTACCGGTCTGTCCGTCTTCCTGCGCGGCACGCTTCAGGAGCGCATCAACTACTGCTTCGCCGTGTACGACTTCAACGGCGACCAGTCTCTGGCGCGGGACGAGGTCTACCACCTGCTGAAGAACAGCGTCATGAAGAACCCCCAGGAGGAAGATCCTGAGGAGGGCGTGCGCGACCTCATTGACCTCGTCATGAAGAAGCTGGATGTGAACCACGACGGATTTGTGTCCTTTGATGACTACGAGGCTACAGTGAAGATGGAGCCCCTCTTGCTGGAGGTGTTTGGACCCTGCCTGCCGCAGCAGGAATCGCTAGAAACGTTCCTCACCACCTTTGTCGAGCCTAAGCGAACGCCCGGCTATGAAGGATAAATTCTTCTTTTTTTTTAGCTTATTTAACAAGACTCCTTCAAGTCGTGATGTATGTCAGCTGTATTGCGGTGCTATTCAATGCAATGAAAACGACGCATATTCGAATCCAGCTTAACTAGGATTGCTAGATGTTCCGTTCCGACTACCGTCACGTTTGTCGACGTCAATCCTAGTAAGTATGTTAACATTCCCCGCTGGCTGTGTAGTTCAGAATTTGACAAGCAGCTCATCTCGTTTTACTGTTATCCAAATCACTGCAGCTGCTCAAGTAATACAGCTGATGACCGACGTGGCGGTGTCTTGCTTCATTCACTGCTAGATTAGATGATTGAGATTTATTTTTGCCGACGATGCGTGCCCGCTGGATCTGCTCGGGCCAGCGCTGGCGGTGGGGGGATGTCTGCCCTGCTGACGCTGACGGCGAGTCTGAGTCATTCGAATTGCCTTGATCAGCCACTGGGTGAGACCGCGAGACTACGGTGGATGAGCGGATTTAATCAAACGTTAACAATTTCAAAATACCTTAGTATTTGTATCATCGCTAGATGGATGAGATCTAAATACACATACTGCTTCGGATGTTTTTCTTCTCGTCGTTTTCCAGCGCCATGAACAATCAACACATTGGGTACATTACGGATGTTGACCTTCGTTTACGTCATCTGTGTCTTCACGTGGTGCTGCCACCTTGGCACTGAACCGACCCCAGTCCACTCTCGTTGACACGATTAATAGTGCTGACATCCCGGCACGCTGCAGCGCTCTGCGGGTCGGAGTTAGGGGCTCGGCCAGACGGCTCCACCCCCAGCTGTGCAGAGGGCAGGGGGCGTGGTGGTAGAGTTAGACTGGGAGGTTTAGGGTGACGGGGAGGGGCGGAGCGCCGATGGAGTTGTCGTGTTTTGCCGGGGGCGGTCCGTTTCCGGCGTCTCTCGGGCACGTGTCGCTCCGGTTGGCCTCCACCGACCGTTGTTGCTGCGAGCTGCGGCGGCCGACGGGCGGGGGCGGCGCAGGCGCGCTCGGCGCCGTCGGCCGGCCGCCGCCGCCGCCGCCGGCAGCCAGTGCCACTGCCATGCCCGGCCGCGATCCGTTCTCCGTGCCGGCCGGAGCGCGCTCCTGGCTCAGCGATGTGCTCGAGAGCTCGCCGGCGCCGGCGCCCGTGCCGGCGCCGGCCGGTGTCGTGTCCAGACTTGTGCACTCGTTCGAGCGAGGTGAGTTCGCGCCGGAAGAGTCACCGCCGCCGGCGCGACGCGAGGCGCCCGCTCAGGACGTCCACGCGGACTACAGGAGCATGATCGCCGCGCTGGATCGCTATATCGAGGCGCGTGACCAGCGCCGCGCCGCCGCCGCTGCCGCCGAGCCGGCTGGCCGCACACCGTCGCCGCTTCCCTCTGCCGGCTCCACGCCTCCCGAGGTACGCCGGATCACGGGGAAGCCTCCTCGGCCGCGTCGCGCCGCGTCTCCCGCTCGACCTCAGCCGGCGCCACACCAGCCCCCTCCGTCAGTGAGCGTGACTCCTCCGGTACCTCGTGTCGGCGTGTCACCACCGGCGCTCTACCCAACCGCGTACCCGGCAGCCTACCTGGCCACGCCGCAGTACGCCCAATACGCCCAGTACGCGGCGCATCCAACACACCCTTCATATGCGCACCTGGCTCCGATACCGTCTGTCGCTTCTGTGGCCTACGGGGGACCGTGTGCGCCTCTCTCCCAACTGGCGCCGCTGGGGTACGAGCCCGGCTGGGCGGACCAGCCGACCAGGAAGAGATCTTCCAGCTTCGACTCAGCGCTGGAGGAGATCAGAGCCCGCTACGGCAGTGGGGAGAGCCTCTGCTGGCCGGCGGCGCCACACTGCGCCGGAGGATGGGGTGGATCCTGTGGAAACATCGCAGGATGTAAGGTCAGTGGAAGGTCAAGGGCTGTGGGTCGGTGACAGGTCAAGGCCACGGGCGCTGACGGGTAGGAATACTATCCTTTGACTGGAAACTGGTTATTTAGTCGTATATTTTCGCTCGCTTTTGTAACCCTGAAATGTCTCTGGCATTCCATTATTAGTATGGGTTTAAGAGCCTTGAGCGCCTATTGGCAGCAACGGGAACAATGCCATTCTTCGACTAGATTGAAACTATTTACCTTCTTGTGTATTTTGGATCTCTTTTGAGACTGAACATCCATCTTTTTCGCACGGGTTAACAGCGCTATCTTATTGGTGTGGCCCCTTCTGTACGCTCATTCGCTCAAGTGAGCCGTCTCGCCTGTCGGTACTGGCGTTCGGTTGCCAGCGACAGTCGAACTCGTGCCACTGCCAACAATTTGCGCAGTATATTAGGGTTGCTGCCCGATGGAGACGTCTATACGTGGCAAGCTGCTTAGAGCTGCAGCTCGGATTGTGTGATTGCACAGGCTGTGCAGCTCAAAGTTTTGCGGTTTTAGGCGATTCAAACCATAGTGTCATCAAAGGGTTGCGTGGGAGTTTTTGAAGTATTCACAGGTCTCTGATGTGTGACTGACTTGTCGCCTTGCTTCAAACTGTGTGTGCAGCACACACGCCTCCAGCTGTGTGTGCTTTGACGAACTCTCGTAATTGAATTAGTGTGCTCGATAACTGCAATAACTCGCGGCATCATCAGCTGGCTCGCTGCACGAACTCGTCTGATTCTCCATGCGACCACTGGCTGTAGGGTGTTTGTTGTAAGATCCGATGCATAAGGCGATATAGGAGACACATTAGGCCGCTCCAGCGATCGGAACACCTCCGCTGTATCGGCTGTCAGGTCCGGGATGGGTTGAGGCGCAGCCGATGGATCATGTGCAGCGTGCAGCCCGACGCTCCCGCCAGTGTCCGGTAAACCGGGGAAGGGGAGTCGGGACTGAGATCCGGATGTGGTCCCACTTCGACCAGCTGATGGGAAACCCGAGGCTGGACGGTGGGATGGTACGGCTTTTGTGATTTACGGTTAGTGCCCTAGCATTGTTTGTGGAAGGTAATAGCAGATCTAGAAGTCGATAACTCAAATTAAATTTTGAATAATAAACTCGCCCCTGTCTCTCTCTCTCTCTCTCTCTCTCTCTCTCTCTCTCTCTCTCTCTCTCTCTCTCTCTCTCTCTCTCTCTCTCTCTCTCTCTCTCTCTCTCTCTCTCTCTCTCTCTCTCTCTCTCTCTCTCTCTCTCTCTCTCTCCCCTCTCCCCCTCTCCCCTCTCCCCTCTCCCCTCTCCCCTCTCCCCTCTCCCCTCTCCCCTCTCCCCTCTCCCCTCTCCCCCTTTCCCCCTCTCCCCTCTCTATCTCTCCTTCCCTCCCTCCCTCCCTCCCTCCCTCCCTCCCTCCCTCCCTCCCTCCCTCTGTCGCCTTCCCCGCCCGCCCCCCGCGTCTGTCCGAGTTTCGTGCAGACTGATCACACTGTTGCTCTGACGTTATCTAGGCTTGAAGGACGAGTCACTTGATGACCTGGCCAGTTGCGGCTAACGAGTAACGAGGCCTGTTGGTCTTGTTAGCTCGACCGTTTTACTGGGTGGTCTTTGCTGTTTGATGCATCCAGTCCCAGTGGTTCAGCTCGGGATAGCATGCAGACATTTCGATTGGCCGTGAGTTTTTGGAAGAAGCATGATCACATTCTTCATTAAAAGATAGCCACGTCCCACTTAGGGAATGAGGTGTATAATCGTCTATGATGCTCAAATAATCATACGGCTATCATTTGTCCAGTTTCTAACGGCATAGCTGAAATATGTCTTTGTTTATTTTAGTGACGAGAAAAAAAAAACTGTCGCTGACATAGAGTTATGTTCTAGTAAATATTCGTGAATGTGAGTCAATTAAAGTGTCTTTGGCAGGATGACACGGCACCTGGTGTGTCCGTCAACATGTCACTGCTGACAAATGACACACATATGCGCCGCTGGCCCCATGGTTTTATCTGTGTTTGTCTTTATTTAACTCGCACATATTTTACACTAGCCAAGAGTAACAAATGAATAGATGCAACACGGCACATGGTCTCGCAGATAGATGAAATCATCGTGCTGGTCAAACGATTCAGCTGTCTACTGGTTGTGTTTCCATCTGGGTGGTGGCATCCGTTTCGTTCGTTTTATCTCTGTTGATCAGATGTTTGAACGATTAGTCATTGCCCTTTATATTTTCTTAGGGCGTGTTGACTGAGTGCTAAGGCGAGTTGATCCTTCAGACTCCCGTTGAGAATCAAGAGTCCGTCATTGTCGTGATAGTCTGTCGGAGTGTTATCATCTTCTGGCTCTCAGCCCGGCCTGGCGACCCTAGTGTTGGTAAGTCTGGTCTGGTCTAGTAAGACTAACCTTAACGTTTGTAAATAATCAGACATGATTGAGTTTTATTCACGATCGATGGCAACACAAGTCAAATTCCTAAAACCAGACGTTTCGGCCACAGGGTGCCTTCGTCAGTGGACACTACAGATTAAATTAAAAACACATAGTATCAAAAACAATCGGTATAAATCGTTCGAAGTCGACACATCGGGCACATCGCATTTCGAAACATGTGCCCGATGTGTCGACTTCGAACGATTTATACCGATTGTTTTTGATACTATGTGTTTTTAATTTAATCACTAGTGTCCACTGACGAAGGCACCCTGTGGCCGAAACGTCTGGTTTTAGGAATTTGACTTGTGTTGCCATCGATCGTGAATAAAACTCAACTAACCTTAACCTATGAGGACATGAGTCGACAGATCAATGTATTTGGGTGTTCTGGTCTACATACATACACTGGTAAAGTGGCATCAAGAGGACCTATATACTATATAGTGTATTTTGGCTCCGTCTGATCTGCTTTTTCGGTGTATCAGTGTGCAGTAGGGTGATATGCTACCCGGTCCTACCCCTACCAATCCCGTATAATAGTCCACCAGTCTATCGGTCTGATGGACTCTGTTGGGAGTCTGGTGGGAGTCTGTTGGAAGTCTGCCTGTAGTCTGGTAGGAGTCTGATAGCAGTCTGATAGTAGTCTGATGGAAGTCTGGTCCGGTGAGGTCAGCTGGTCGGGTCAGGCCGGGCCGGCCGGGGCAGACAGCTCCGCTGGAAACGGTCCAGCCTCCCCTGCGACCCAGCTGGCACGGCTCCTGTTTTCTTTACCGTCCCACCGACCCGCGCCTCCGAACCCCAACCGGCCGGGCGGCAGCCGCCTCAACACGGGATCCTATCGCATTCCGGTGGGCTGGTGCTGGGGGAGGGGGGCTGTTCCGGTGTCGGTACTGGTTCCATGTCTGTTCTTGAAGCTTTGGGCAGTGGACAATGACTGGAAGCTGGCTTGGTGTGTGGGTGACTGATAAGCAAGTGGCAGTGCAGGCTGCTGCTAAGAACCTGAAAAAGCAAAACGAATATCATAATTTTTAAGCACTAAAACACATTGGAATCTGCAGCCGTCAACGTAGGTGGTCTTGGCCCACCCTGAATGTTTTAAAGCGTGTGTCAATTCACGTGCCAGCTATCATGATGCAAACATGACGGCTGGCAGGCTGCAGACTCAAGACATATCTTTTTCCTTGAGGTATCGCATCGGATTGTTTGATTAAAACCTGATCCGGTGTCCTCTGGCTACGAATTGGCTCTTGTGCGTGGTCTATGACGCATGTAGAGCCCCATAGGCGGTATCGGCCGCTTCATGTCGGTCGGGCCAGGGCATTCGGCCAGCTCTCCGTGCAGTTCTGCCTCTGGTGACTATGGCTGAACTAGAGCTTCTGTGTTCCACCGTTAGGGGGCCGTCGAGTGATCATTCTCCGTGGCCGCCTACTGTCGCTCGCATGTAATGTATCGTTGGCAGCCGGGTGTATTTTTGCCACCGCGACCCTTGTGTTCCCAGAGAACCTCTGTTTTCTGGCTAGCTGAATGATAGTATTTGTTCTAGACTAGTTAGCTGAACATCGACATGACGATATGTGTGATGACAAAAATATTAGCGTGACCTTTGTAGTCGGCGCGCCCTAAAGCCCTAATGAACAAACAAGCGATATAAACTTACCACCTATACTAGTGGCCACTTTTATCGCCAACTTATCACTTTTTTCTTGGCCGTAGTCAAAAGTTCAACCTTCTTCATGTCGAGTATAGTCGCCTGTTGTTTTGTGTTGCATGTCATATTGGGTGCGTAAGTTTAACAAATATTGACCTTCCTATTAGGATCAAGTTATCGGTTGCGTGCCGTAATGAATGTTTGGGCTACATTTTGCATCGTCAGTTGCGTAGCATTTTGCTTCATTTTGCATCATAAGCGCTACTCGACTTGTGAATTAGCGGCGAGTGCCTGAGGGCACGCAGCGGCGCTACACCGAGCACAGCTAAACCCGAACGTATTGCCGCTAGATGGCACCAGCGGACATTGCCTGTATCTATGCTGTGCCGCAAAGCGTGCGCGGACACCCGGCACGGGTTGGATGTCTCAATTGATGATACGTTCAAATGCTGATGGAACGCCTAATTAGGGCGACCAAATGGAAAAGGCCAAGCCGTTAACGAATGAAATCAACCATGTAATGCTGTCGCATCTGTATTAGGCATATTTTATTTAGTAAATTTTACTCTGAAGATACCTACGTGCAATTGTACCTACTGCCTCCATCTTAATAATGCAGGCCATGGTTTCATTGTTATTCTCTTTGATCGCCATTTTGTTTTGTTATTCGTTTTTTGTTTTGATTATTTATGTGTCCCGTGGCGACTGTCGAAGGTCTGCATTTTCACCTCATTTGGCATGGCAGCGTATGTACAACATTCTTGGCGGGACGCACTGGTAAATTGAATATTCTCCGACAACAGTCACATTTATTTACGTCCCTCATGGTTCTAAGGTCTACTTTTGACACACTGTATTCGACACATACATACAATAGTTAGACGGATCGTGCTCTAGTAGTTATTGAGTTCTAATGCAGACTCAGGTACACGAATCAGTGCGTCACACATTGTAAGTCGAGTCACGGCTCACTTACCTTTTGACCCGGATAGCTGAAGGATCGGCGAGTGCTTGTGTGTTGGTGGTGAAGTCGATCCTTCTTTTCATCTGATATTGTTGGTGTCGACTTCACAAAGCAGATTGCAGGAAACATGAGTTCACTTATGACTTGTTCCGGTATTGTGCAACTTCTGTGCTCTTTGAAGCTCGCTTATTCGTCATATTTAATGTGCGTGCTGCGAAAGGCACAGTGCCAGAATATGAGAGTAGGAAGCTCACATCAAACTCTGAGTGCTATTTTTAGCGTGCGTTTCTTCTGTACCAGACCAATTTTGAGTGACACATGAGCCGTGGCCAACCGTCTGTTATGTGCATACCGGTTCCTTTCTGCTAGCTTTTTCTCTGGTAGCTACCTACCACTATGCCACTACCACAACGTGGTATCCATGCCTTCCCCAATCAGTCTGTTTCTCTGCGTGACAGCCGTGAAAGGTAAGTGATTTTCATGACACAGACCATCAACAGGGACGGCTCCCTCGCCGTGACAGGCGCCGCTCTGGGGTGCGTCGTTGCCGTCGCGGGCCGGTCAGCTGCTCCGTCGGCTCCGACGGCCGTCGGTGCCGTCTGTCGGCCAAGGTAAACAGCGGGCGACGACGGGGCGCCGGACGCCGGCCGACGATCACGCCGATGATTGGCGTCGACGGCGTGGGCGGAGGTGTGGTGGGGAGGGAGAGAATACTGCGATGCAATGTCGCACGGTTTCTGTGCCTGAGAGGAGGGTGGATTCCGTCGCTACCTTGATAGGGCTTCTGAGTGATGTTCGAGAAAGACTGACGCTGTGACATCCAGACTCAGACTGCGAACGCTCGCGCCGCGCGTGCCTGCGTCTGGTTTGAAGTGCGGTCTCGTTCCGCCTGCTCTCATCCGCGGAGCATACTGCACGCATCTCTGCCGCTCCGGCGCCGCCGTCCTGCCGTCGTTCCCCCGTCGGCCGCGGCCGGGGCGTTGTTGGCGCTGCGTCGGCCGGTGTCGGTCGGTTTTGGCCGGGCGGCCGCTTACCTGGCGTACCGCCGCGCCGCCGCCGCCGCCGCCGCCGCCGCCGCCGCCGCCGCCGCCGACGCCAGTGGGGCCCGTGCCGCGCCCGAGGACGGCCATGCCCGACAGCAGGGCGCGTGCCGGCGAGCCGCCGCCGCGTGCCGGCTCCAGCGACAGTGAGAGTGAGCAGGTGACGACGGAGACTACCTCAGAGAGCGGCGCCGGAGACACCAGACTGCGCCGCTCCGCCTCGCGGCCGGACGGGGTGTTTCTGACAGAGCCGCCGCCGCCGGCGCCTCCCGCAGTCTCCCAGGCCAGCGCCGCAGCGAGGAGACAGCACAAGAAGAGGAGGCAATCCGGTCTGTGTGGTGGCTGTGATGTGGTGCTTTGAGGGATGTGAGGGGGTGGGTTGAGAGGTTATGCAATGTGCCGGAAACGGGAGGGAAGGGGAGGGGTGGGATAGTTGTGGGAGGGTTAGAAGGAGGGTCTGGAGTTCAAGGGTATATGAGGAGAGTTATGACTGAAGAATAGGGACTGGGAAGGCCAATTTAAGGGTTGGCAAACCTTCTAAACCACGGTACTTTTGAAGAGCCGCAGTCGAGCGGCAGCGGAGAGGGCGTCCTACCCGCAGTGGACGGCCATTTGTTTTGTTTTGTTTTCTTAGCGTGGCGTTTAGTGTGAGTCAGTGGCTAAATTGGACCTCCAGCCTCGACCCCGCCTCATCCAACTCCGGAAGTCGCGTCAGACCGCCGACCGCAGTTGCAAACGTGGCACGTGGAGAACCCATGGACACGTGCGGATGAGGATGACCTCCGCTGTCCTCTGCCCGATTAGCTCATCTTGCTCTTCACTCCTTCATTCATTCATTCTGACCTGGTGGCCTCTTCATTCATTCATTCTGACCTGGTGGCCTGTCCTGTATATTTCCTGACCACCTCCCTTGTCTTGTCGCTCTACCTTGTTGTCTCCTGTGACAGGTGACCTGTCAATCTGCACTCTCCTGTTCTCTTGTCCTACACAGTTCGCTCACTGGCAATCTGTGCGCCACGCACAGCTGACTGCAAACAATGCCACCGTGTGCGTGCTGTCTTGCTGGGGGGGGGGGGGGGGGGGACGGTGGGAGGACTGGATGGTCTGTGGTGTCCCTTGTGGGTGGGCTTGGCGTAGGTTTTGAACCTTGGTATGAGCACCGACCACAGTTCTACGGTCCATTGGGATTTTATCTCTCGCTGTGGGCCCCTTTTCCTAGGGGTGGAGTGCAATGCGGCCCATGGGTTTTATGTCGGTCCAAAATTTTGACTCTTCTTGGTTCCTGCGGCTTTATGGCTCTGTGGCTGGCTTCCTGGGTTAGAACTCCCTGCACAGCCACACCTGGCGGCTCAATAATGTCTTATAGATATCGGGTCCATTCCCCGACCATCGCCTCTTTCATGAGTGTTTAGGCCCCGCAGGTGTGCCCGTGGGTGTAATGGCAGAACGCTGTCCATTGATAGGGCCACCGCAGGGTGGCATGCCCGGACATCGGATAAATGCTACTGGGGGGGGGGGGGCTCATGGGGCTCTGAAGGGTGAGATCATGCGATAGCATGGTCATTCAATTGCACGAGTTTCATTTACAGCTTTATCTCCTGATTGATATATTTGGGAAACTCTTCGTAAAGAGTAGCACAGGGTGTGTTTTGATCAACGCTTAAAAGGTTGCTCTCTACTTGGCAGTGAGCACCGACGCTCTGCGCTCAGTCTCTGAGTGATCTTCTCCGGCGGGTGATTGTTCCCGGTACCTAGCGTATGCTGACCGGCGGGCTGACCTGCAGGCTCTCGCGCCGAGCCGGAGCGTACCCGGTCCTCCACCGAGAGCGTGCTGAGGAGCGAACACAGTGACGCCAACACCACCGACGACCTCTCCCTGGGCACCAGCAGCAGCACCAGATATAATAGCGAAGGTGCCGACCGCTACACCAGTTATGTTGGCTTTTCGGGCAAAAGAGCCGTCTGTTGGTCGAGGGTCACTCAGTTCGCATCAGGTCAAAGGCGGAATACGACACAAAATTGATGTTTTAGAGATGAAACAGGCAGATCCAAAATGGCTTATATCTATCGATCTGATTATTTTGTCAAATGGCTTTACCGACGACATCTGGCTAATGCCAGTGCCCTATACGTCCTACATTGGAGAATCGCCATTCGCTTTTGGTCTGCTGCGAACTGAAAGCATTTTAGACGACTCGTTATCCTACTGGCCCACATGGGGAACAAAAGGAGTCCTTATGCCGCTTTAGGTCAATTACCAGGACATCCGCCGTTTAGCGCGGCTGTAATCTCCGCCAGACTCGTGCTATCATCCCGGCGCGTCCACTCGTGACGGCTGGGTGAGGGCCGTGTAACTGCCGGCTGTCGGCGGGGACGGGTGACGACCATCAGACCGCAGGGGCGAGGCGGCGCGTGTGGCGCGTGCCCTCCAGCCGAGCGGTGCGCCGTTTCCGGACTCGCTGTGGCATTTGCATCAGAATGACAGGCGGTGTGGTGGCGGTGGCCGGTTAGCTCTCGATGTGGCGCGCGAGTCGGCCCCGGGCCCTCGCGATGGCCGGCTGCGGCCGACCGGGGCCCTCCGGCTCCGGGCCCCGCGGCGCTAGGCCCTCTGGTGGTGGACCCCTTCGTAGTGGATCCCTCAGAGGTGGACCCGTCAGTGGTATACCGTGCATCAATAGTGGGTCCGCCAGCGGTGAACTCATCGGTGGTGGACCTATTAGTGGTAGACCCGTCAGTGGTAGACCGCGCATCAATAGTGCACCCGTCAGTGGTGAACCCATAAGTGGTGATCGGCGTCACAGTGGACCCCCTGATGATGGACCACGACCACCATCTAAGAACGGACCTTGTGGAAACAGCCACTTCGGAAGTCACATCTACGCCAGACGTCTTTCTGATGACGGCCTCTGTAACGGCGGCTCTTGTGGTGTTCGAGATCACTCGGCCACCGTGCGAGCTAACGGAAGTCTCCTTAACGCTAACCCACCCGGCACTGACCCCTCAACCGACCCCCGTGGTGACCTGGCCCGGTCGGATGCCGGGGTCGCCGCCGGTCACCGGTCGAACTCTGGGGTCGCCGCCGGTCGTCGCCCGTCCGACAGTGGTGCTAATGGAGTTAGCACTGCGGGGAGTGCGCACCCGGCGCCGAGCGCCCTGGTACAGCGGATTACGTGTGGTTCGGTACAGTACCAGATCAGTTACGTGCGCCGCCCGCGATCGCCCTCCCCACCGCCGCCGCCGCCGCCGCCGTCAGGTAATACCACACCGCCGCCCCCGCCCCCGGCGATACAACCGTTTGGGGTCTGTGGTTTGGCTACATTCTATGGCGCACTCGCGTCGCCTCGCCGCCGCGGCTCAGTCTGTCGTCACTTTATTGGTACCCAGTTCTGTAGTATCCAATGTTTGATAGGTCTGGAGAGGTTAGCTGGAAGGGATTGCTAGGATATCTGGTGGAGCTGGGAGGGAATGTCGCGCCCCTCGTCATCTCCGGTCGTTCCACCTGAGGCGACGACTCGGCTGGGGCTGAATCGGGCGTCGGACCGGGGCCCTATCGCAGCGGGATAAACACGGCCTGAAATAGCGCCGCTGCCAGCCGGGCCGTGCCTTCTGCGCAGCCCGGCGCAGCACGAGGTGGTTTGTTTCGCACCGGCTCAAACTGTGTGGGCTAGCACACGGGGTGCGGATGACGGGGTTACAGGTGGTTGAGCTCCGGAGGAAGGGATTATTTTTGTAGAGGGGATGTTGGGAGGGACGTGTTTTAGGAGCCGTAGGAGGAATGTGGCGTTGGGATGTGATGGGTGGGGTTGGGTAGAGAGTGGAGAGAGGTTGGGTTCCGCTGTGGGTAGTGCTGTGAATAGAAGACGCTCCCGGAACCCTCCTGAAGCACCACCACCACCTGCCGCAGCTGCTTCTGAGTTGGAACATGGCGACCGCTCCTGGTCGTCGTACTACGCCCAGCGCTCGCCGTTGTTCTACTACCGTCCGCCGGCTCCGCTGCCGCCTCCCAGCTACTACAGTCTGCCGACCAGCCGCGCCCAGACGCCAGAGAGACGCAGTAAGACACCCCAGCCTGCCTCGGCGACCGCCGACGACCCGGAGCCCCCCGTGAGCCGCCGGCCGACCTCGCAGCGCCAGGGCCGGCAGCGCGACCTCCTCAACCGCCGCGAGAAGTTCCGGCGCAGCAAGAGCCGCGAGCGCAGCCTGGAGCGCCGCTGGGCGGACCCGTGCGGCCCGTGCCCGTGCTGTGAGCAGGGAGGCAGCGATGAAGAGGACTGGATGCCGCACTACTGGCACGGTTTCCACGGCCGGCCGTGCGCCCACCGCGCGCCGCCGCCGCCCCCGCCGCCGCTGGACCACCGGTACAGCTACTCGGGACCTCTGGACTGCTGGCCGCCGCCCTACCCGCCGGTCGACTACCATCGCTGGCTGGCGCCGTACAAGGTGGGGAGTGGGGAGAGAACGTGTGTCGGAGGGGGACGGGGCATGCTGGCATTGAAACATGCCAACATGGGGGGGGGGGGGGCAACCATAGCACAAACGATGCGTGCTCTGGAAGTCGTTTACTCTCCATCAAAGGTAAGTGAATGTAGGTACAATGTTTTTAACTCCTATCTTTCAGAACATTTAACGAATTTATCGCATGCAGATGAGAAAACTTTGTCGAAGCTTGCTGAGATAATGTCAAATGCTACGCAGAGCTGAAACGACCACTATTGTCATGTTTTTACAGCCCTGAAAAGCTAGGTGATTCGCACGATCACTGTGCAGTGCACACCACATAAATCAACAATCGCTCACTAGGCGTGGAAAAGGAGAAATGTATAGTCGATCTGAGCAGTCGATTCCCGCTGAGACGCGCGAATGATGGGAGGTTTTGGGGGCGTGCCGCAGCTGACCGAATGACCTGTTCCTGTCCCTGAACTCATCCGTCTTCTCGCTCGCTCGAGCCGCAAAGAACGCAGCTCCGAAATAAACCGATAACGACGGCGCCGGGCAGCGTCACGGGGCGTGACGGGCTATGCGTGACGCCCCGTGACGATGACGCCCACTGGCCCGTATTTCTCTGCCAGCTCTGCCGCTAGCCGTGACGCCATATGTGCGTCACAGACGGTCTTCTGCGCGTTGTGTGATGTTTTTACAGGGACAGTTATGTATCGGAATGAAAGGGGCTGGATGTGTGATCATTGATCAGGGGTGAAGGATTTAAGTGTATGAGTCATTTTGACGCTAGCTGCAAGTTAGCTACAAGCTAGTACGCTACCATGAGCTCACGTCTCACTGTGGTGCATCTTTTGGATGTTTTGGGCTCTTGGTGCTTCGTCAGTTTGTTCATATATTCTCACAAATGTGCGGTTGGTCGGGGTCCTACTCTTTTCTCTCTCTATGGGCCATATTCAGTCTGTTGACTGACCACCATTCCGTACCATCACTCGTTTGACTCTGACAGGCCCCGAGGGACGGAGTGGACCGGATCGCCGTCTGGCAGCGGGCCAGTGGTGACCTGTCCTCCGTCCTATCCGCTCAGCTCTCTCCTTCTCCTACGATAGCCTGGGTATCGCAATATACGCTGGTGGTCAGGAATTGCTTCTCGTAGCTGTTGCGTACCTATGTTGAATTAGTTTTGCATGTGGTTACCACACAACTGAATGAATAAAAATTTGCTGACGTCATGAGGTGGTGCCCTTTCCGATGTCGCGAATTATTGCCAGACCTCAGGCGGTGTTTCATTTTAGGTTGACCGAGCTGTCGTGAGTTTGTTTTTAGATGGCGGATGTCTCCTCGTTGACCCTATCAGATTACCGAAGCAGCTGACAGCCAGGCTGTTTTATGATTGTGCCGACAGCTGCAATCGGGATTCATGGGAATATATCATTTGGCTGCCTGTGACGTTAATTCTGACATGACGCAGTAACCGTGCTATTCCAACGGATTGCTATGGCAATTTGTAACTTAGGCTGATTAAATACCATTCATAGCTATATTTACCTTTGCTCCTCTGCGGTTATCTTCAATCATCTGACTTAACTTCCTACAGTCATTAATCATAGTTCCTAAGTAATCCTAAATATTGGATATTTATATCTCGTGCTCTGTATCCTGTGATAATGATAGTGGTGTAATGTTCGCTTAGAATAGAGAACGGCACTCTAAATATAACTCGGTTTCTGATCTTGTCTGGGTCTCGAATTCGTTGGTCATCCCCCCCCACACACACACACACTATCCCAGTTGAAGAGCTCCAGCCATCAGCGGCGCCCTCCTTGACTCTTTTATAGCTGGATCTGCACCTCCTTTGACTCCTCTGCGAACTTTGATTCATCGCGGCAGGAGACGATGACACGTCCGGAATTACAGCTATTATTGTCATACATCGGGACGGGTCGCAGCGTGGTGCCCAATACCATCAATACCATAGTGGGAGGGAGGTGGTTGTGATTCTTTACTTAGCTTTGTGTATTCTGATATATTATTAGAAGAAGCAAGTACCTATGTAATTCATTGCCAAAGGCTCAGAAACGCTAGAAATCTGTGAAACAATGTAAGACATGCCGATGGAAACAGGGTGTTGAATGTACCTGGCTGCTCTGATTTACTTTTTGTAACAGGCAGGATTTTACCAACAAATACCGTAAGCAGACAGGCTGTAATACGTTCCAGTGCTTTTCAGTGATCAGTGTGATTCCTATTCTGCGTTCATTGCGTAACGCAATGGCACTCACCGGTGCACTAGTGCCTATTCGGCCACTACTATGAACGTCAAACCCCTTGAGACCCCACTTTTTTGCGATAGTTTTTAAATGCGTCAACTTTCGTTGATAATATTCTGGCAATGTATGTTTCAGAACCTGCCGAAACTTTTATTACTAAGGTATTTTGACGCCAAACGATTATGGAAGGTACTTCTCATTCACTCGTAATGTTAAGGTCAATTCAGGCCCGGGCAGAGGCTTGCGCTCGGCCACACTCGAGCCCCGCCACCAGCGCCATCTGCTCTAAATGCCATCTACCAGCGCCCGCTACCGCTACCAGCTACCGCCCACCATCAAGCCTGAATGGAGCGAGAGACGCGAGTGACCGGTCGCCGGGCAAGGAGCGCCGGAGGGGTAGGGCGGAGCTTAGCGCTGACGTCATTACGTGGCTCCGCCCCATGAGCGCGTAGCCTCTACCCAAACAGCAGATTCGTTCCGTGAAATTTAACATTACGAGTGAATGAGAAGTACCTTTAATAATCGTTTGGCGTCAAAATACCTTAGTAATAAAAGTTTCGGCAGGATCTGAAACACACATTGCCAGAATATTGTCAACGAGAGTTGACGCATTTAAAAATTATCGCAAAAAAGTGGGGTCTCAAGGGGTTTGACGTCCATAGTAGACACGGTCGGGCTTTGGGCGAGGTGCCAACTCTGCGCTCCTCTCCCTCACTGAGGGCCATGTCTGGGTGAGACGTTCTACCGCCGACGACCGACCGACCGACCGACCGACGTCGACCGCAAGAGCGAGGGCTTCCCGGCGGTCGGCTCCACCGGAGGTCACTATTTCGGTCCGACGACACACTTCGGGGGCTCGTGTCGGCCCGGTGTATCTCCCAGGCGGACGAATTTCGAGCTGGTCCATGTGTAATAATGTATGATAGTTAGGTGGCGTTGGATGATCCGTTAGTGTGTAAGAAGAATGTGGCGTGGCGTGGCTCGTCGATTGGTGTTTATGATTTGGCCCGGTCAGGTCCTCACGTGCTCTACTTGGCTCGACTAGTGTCATTCGTCCTCAGTTGGACCGCAGCCCGGCTTCACTGAATGTGGGGAGGGAACGTCCATTCAGTAGATATTCCTCCCGGTCCTTCCTCCGTAGTTTGATAGCAGATGTCTGCCAGTAGTATCATGGATTTCTAATATGAATTGCGAGGTGTTGAAGCGATGTATTCATCAGTTATTCTAGTGATCACATAAATCTTCATATTGGCTTTGAAGCGGCTATTCATGTCATTCTCGAATCCAGCCTTCCAGCAGGCAGCCCATTTCCTAGTTCCCAGTACCGTCGCGATCCTGAGCCCCAGCTGCCTCCCCGATCGAGTCTGCTCGACTCGACTCGAGCCCGGTCTCTAGCCGCTGTCAATAAGCGGGGGTGCCGACACGGAGACAGACATTTGGCACGTGTTGACTTGGCATGTCGCTGTCACTGGCCGACCGCCTGTCGCGCGCGTCCCCACTGCTCGGAGCCGTGACTGGCGCAGCGGGCGCAAAAACGACGCACGCCAGACAGAAATGGTGCGTGTATAGTTTTCTGTGAATGGGGGATGTGTGGTGGCTAACCACGAAAACCACGGAAACCAGTTGGCGAAAGCTGCTATTGCGTGCATGTGTCGTGTAGTCCAGGTCCTACCAATAAGCTCGGTATTGTCACGTTAGCCCATTGCTTGCCCTACATTGGGCGAGACCAATACTTTTCGGAAAGTGACGCCCGTGAATCGTGATTGCGCATTATGAGTGTTTGCTGGTTTCATTTATTCCTGGAAAACATGCACTGATGCCTGGATGCTCTGGCGACTTGACTGCAGTGTCAGTGACACAGAGATGGCAGAGTTCCGCCTCAACCCCGGAACTCCCCCCTGTGGGCCGGCCACCGCTATTAGACGGTGTCGGGCCGGACATTAGCGCCCAGCGCCGGTCCACACCACCTAAGTAACTTTTTCTGCTGGTTCGCAATGGACTCACGCGGCGCAGTGAGACTGTCTATGTCCACTGGACGTCCCACAGAAACGCTCAATTCGTACATTCGCTGAGCACTTCAAACTTAACTTCTTTCTTCTCGATGTGAGAAGTAAGCACCTTCAGTGAAAATGTTGGAAGTTGGAACATGCAAGCTGCTGAAATGTATGATTGATTTTATGTGCAACGAGTTGCAAATGAACGCGTGTTGAGCACAGGAGCAGTGAACTGGCTGTTGCGGACCAAGCGACGACGGAAAGCTTCATTCCCCTGTCCTGATTGCTTTTTTGATTCAGCTTGCGTCAGCATGCTTCGTCGGTTCACATGTTGAATGTTACGCTGAATTTTGAAAACTTGTGTTGAATGTTGAATGCAACTTAATGCATTCATGCTCTTTAGGGTATTTTGCATGAATACGTTGCCTGTGCTTATGGATACGAAACACCCAACAATCATACAACACCGCAAAGTTGGGGTTTACTTTAGCCGGAGCCACACGACCTCGCTCATGTCCAACCTTTGGTACTTACGCTGTCCGGTGTGCACTGTGCAGTTACCCCCCCCCCCCCTACTTCGTGTCGGTGTCATTGTACCCGGGACACTGGATCGGCCAGTGCTGTAGGGGCGGTACTGAGTCTATAGAGCCGTGCTGTGGTACTGTTCCATCCATACACCTACCTTTCGTGGGACGTTACTGTCACGTGCCCGAGGTTGGGAAGGGTGGGGTCGAACATAGTGGCATCAGGGGTCAAAGCGGTGATGGCGAATGCTGTTGAAGTTGGTAGCGGATAGAATCTTTATCTCGCAGTCGTTCTCTAACAGTTGGCTGCCTTTTCGTACCACCTTAGGCATTTAAAGCATTTTACTGAAGACATTTTTAATTAGCTGATGTGATATCAATCATGCACCTATATTCAATAGTTATCGCAGAAAACCTGCAGCACTGAAAACAGCTATTATAGCTGTGTGTTTAGTGCTACCTACTTTTTGTGTCTTTTTTGTTCTTTTGTATGTAATTACTTAGCCTGTTCAATGTTCATTGATGAGTTATTACGGCTGGTGTAACGAACTTTTTGTCACGGCATCAGTAATATTATGAAGAGGTCCCACACTACCTGAAGTTCCGACACCGTACTACAAAACACTCCAGTAATGGCACTGTAGCACGACACATGCCTTCATGTAAGCTACAAGACAAATGGTCGCCTTCCCCTTCATTCATCTCTGCCCAGTGCCCCCCCTCTGATCGCCTCCCTCCTCTGCCGTTACAGCCGGGTCTGGAGTACGATGAGCGGCTTCAGAAGCTCGAGTCGGACAAGTCGTCCCTGCAGCTTCAGGTGTCCGTCCTCACCGAGCAGATTGACGCGCAGACGGAGAAAATCTCCGAACTCGAGGACCAGCTCCGCACCCGGCAAATGCTGCTCGGAAAGGCAGAGGACCGACTGCAGAAGGTATGTTAAAACGCTGAAAAGGTCCGAGTTGCTGGTTTGCTTCTGCTTTGAGGATTTTGTGAACGCATATGTGCTCCCTCGCGTTTCTAGTTACCTTGCGTTTCTCCCTTGCATTCCTCGTGGCTTCAGTACTGTCAACCTCAACCAGCCCCTCACCATTGGCTTGCGGTCCGTTTTTTCTTCCGTTTTTTTCCTCTTGGCTGACTGGTATTGACAGCCTGCGTGCTGTCTGTAGCGCCCATATTCAGCCGTGGACCGGTGTTTTCACCACCGGGGTCGTCGTTCTGTGGGGGTCGCGGCACAGTCAATAGCGGCCGGTTATCAGTCGACTATCTCCGACACACGACCGTCCGTCGGTCACGCCGCGTCGGCCGGCCGGACCAGCATAGCACAACAGGCGGACTGCGGGGGTTGTGTTACACGTGTAATGTGCCGGGGGATTGTAATGGTAATTTGATATGGTATTGGTTATGCGCACTGTGCCTACTGCTGACGTATGGAATGTGCGTTTAGATAATGTGTTCGTTAGGCGGCACGGGCGGACATCGATAGCAGCGCCTCTATCGGTCACTAGGGAAAGCTGGGCTGTAGGCGACGAAATACCGGCTGAGTTGTCACACGTTGAATAGGTTTATAGACATCCGTCTTGTGAAAAAGTTGAACTTTTGCCTTCAATATTTCTACAGGCAATTTTAGAAAAGTTTTCACATAGATTACAAAACCGTTTAGATTATTGTATTCACGTCAAGCCTTTCCTGTTGTT